GGCGGCCCGGGAGAGCCCGCGGCTGTTTACAGAATCTCCTGAAGCCTCGGGCTGGGGAGTCTCCCTGGTGTCACATCAGGGCTGGCCAAACCAGAGGGACACGGGCCACAAGGGACCAGCTGGTGTTGGTCCACGGGCCAGGAGAAGGGGCTCGTGTAAATCATCTGGGCTGTGGGCAAGGCTTGTGCTCAGGCCTCCTGAGAAACCACCGTGTGAGAAGCCAGAAATCAGATGGTGCCCATGATGGACCCTCAGGAGCAGCTCCAGCACGTGCTGTTGGTCTTGTCATTATTTTCCTGGGAAGACAAGGAAACACGTCACGGACGTGATGACCGTCCTCCATGAGTTGAGGTAAGCCCTTGGGCGACCGTGGCTGAGAAGAGACAGGGAGATGTGTGGAAGAGCTGAACTTCCCCAACAGCAGCAAAACGGGTTGAGGAGGCTCCTTCCCGCTCACCTCAGTGCCTTGACGCTGAAGCCTGGGTTGTGGTCATGTCGCAAGGTTTTCTTTCACTGCTGGAAGACCTGGAGGCTTCACCTGAGGTTGGTCCTTGCCGTAAGGGGACAACAGCCTCCAGAGACGACAGCTGAGGGACAGCGTTACCCCCAACGATGCCCCCAGTCAGCACCATTTGCATGGGAGCGCGTGGCACTGGTCTCCAGCTTGCACCTTTCATGGACCTGCTGGGCTCCGGGGGAGCAAAGACCCCACTGAGAAGCTTTCCCCGTGCTCCTCCATCACGCCCAGGGGCCACACATGTGAGGAGTGGAGCAATACCGGGATACTGGAATTACCAGCCCTCCCACTCCAGGCAGCCTATAATTAAGCCGTGCACATAATGAGTTTTGGCCAAGGTTGGGCTCAGCCTGCCCGTGAAGCCCTCGGTAACATCACGCTCCTCCCTCCCCTCCCGGCAGACCCACATATAGCAGGGAGCACCCAGGAGCACCGGCATTCCCAACCTGCTCTCCAGGACACCCAGCTGGTCGTGTACGGGACGATGAAGACCTGGATCCTCCTCCTCGGGGCAGGACTAGCCCTGGGCTGCGTGGCTGGACGTGAGTAGAGGAGCTCAGCTTTGGCAGAGGGGTCAAAGCAGGTGGGAAAGAGCCAATGAGGGGTTGAAAGTTGTCGGTGCTGAGGGTACCAGGAGCTCAGCTGGCCTGGGGCAACTGGTTCCGTGTCAGGTTGGATCCAGGAGACCTTCAGAAGGGGAAGGGTGAGGGATGTTTTTACGCTGGAGGGTTTCCTTGAGCTCTGGGGCATGAGGGGGGTTTGTCCTTCTCTTTGATGGGTTGGGACTTCCCCTGGTCTTTAGCCTCGCCCACCAGTTGCTTGCTGGTGCACCTTGCTGTGGTCCCATCATGCGAGGCCGCCTTCCCCGAGCTCCTCCATCAAGGGAAATATTTTCCAAGTACCTTATCTACAATCCCTCTGTGGCTGCTGGGAGTGAGCGGAGGAGCCGTGAGACGAAAAACGGAGCGTGACTTCGGGTTCTTTGCCCCTCACGGCTCTGTGGTTGCGATGAGAGAAGAGAGGCTCAGAGAGGTGATCAAGAACATCTCCAAGACGGATGCTGCAACAAGGAGTGTCTTGTGGGCATCAGGTTTTGGCTCCTGATCTTGCACATGACTCGGTGCCTTCGACTCTTGCACAAAAGGTGATCTGTTTGCACGAAGGGAGTTTCATCACTTCTGCCACCGCCAACAGGCTCCAGCCGGTGTCTTGGGAGCAGGTGAATCCCCTCAGGATTAACGCCGGGGAGTTTCGCAAGGCTGGAGCTGCTCCTGCCTCAAAAGAGCCGCTGGGTTGCCCCGAAAGCAGGAGCACTTGCCGTGGTCTCATCTCCTTTAACGCAAGGGTGAAGTTCTGAGGAACAAGTGGGTTTCTGGGAAGCTGGCTCCTGTCCTGGTCTGTCCTGGGCACAAATTTCAGACTGGCATCGCCCTGTCTGAGCTGGGACACCTCCACTGCGGAATAACTTTGCTTGTCCTCAGCTAGGCAGGACAGTGGTGGGAGATTTTGCCTGATTGGCTCACGGACAGCTTGCACCCAGGGTTATTTGTGGCTTCAGGGGTGAGGAGCACGTAACTAAGCGTTGTGGGAGCTCAGGCTATGGGTAGATCTTTCGTTGCAAGTTAATTTGTCCTTCAAATGGGCCCTTTTAAAGGCAGGGTTGATCTTCGGTTTGCATTTACACAGCACAGCGAGGTCTTGGGTTGAGCCAAGATGTGCTGCTCCGACATGAGTCGTAACTCGCGTTTGTGTCCCAAATTGAGCTGCGAGCTGCGGGGAAGGCTCTGTCCCATCTCGGACATTGCCACCCCCCTCAGCCGGTGTTTTCTCAGTCTGAACTGTTTCTCGATGGAAATGAAAATGAGTTTGTTCTCATCCAGCAAGCTATGCTCAGGGAGGGATGGGCTGAAGGGCTAAAAAAGAGAAAGAAACATTTGTCTGGCTTCGTGCGGCCAAAAAACAGCCACAATATTGGCTGAGCGCGGTGTCGGCGTTTCGCTGCCGCACGTGCCCCAGGACCGGGAAGGTCTCAACGGTGACTTATGTGTGGGTAGTTCCTGCCTTGCACAATCCCTCTGGGACTGCTGCTGGAAAATGAGCCTGATTCAGGCTGACTAATCCCGGCTCCTGCTTTGGGGAGCAACAGGGATGTCATCCTGGGGACCAGGATCTCGGCTGCCAACCCCGGAACTGCCACGTCAACTGGTGAGACCGGGGTGTCTGGACACCACGAGCATCACTCACCACCCAAACCGAGGGTGCCCCTTCCTAGTTCTCTCTCAAAGGTGGGACTAAAGTAGCACTAAGGGGGTGTCACCTCCAGGAGCATCTTGAGCAACTCCTTCCTGCTGGCAGCCCTCTTGCTTTAAAGTGGATTTGAGGAAAAGGATGGGTGGGAAGAAGCCAAATGGGAGTCAGCAGCTTGCCCTCGCAGCACACCCAACCAGCCTGAGCCGGGCTGGCTGGTGGGACAAAGAGGTTTTTCCTCTCTCCTTTCCCGATTGAAAAAAAGATTTGGGCGAAATGCCGCACAACAGAGCGAGCAACGCAAGGAAGCCTGACATTTGGAGGTCGCTGCTGTGTTAGGATTTGCCCCGAGGGCGCGTTTTCACTTGCTGGAGTTCGGGGCAAGGCAACCCAGGGGTGTTTAAGTTGTGATTGCAGGTTGGTGAGGGAAAGCACCACCCTCTCCTCCAGCCACCCCTTTGCGGGCTGGCAGCTCCGCTGGGACGCGGCTCCTCAGCACAGCCGTGGAGATGTCACCTTCCTGGCTGGAGCAACAGGATGCAGAGAAAGCCCTTTCCTCCCATCAGGAGCTGACGAGGGGCACGGAGGATAAAGCGCTTTCTGCTAAGCAGGACATCTGGGGGCTGTCGGGAGCCACTGCGTTATTTTTAGCTTTGCTGCCACGTGTAATAAAGCACGTGCTGGGCAACACATTTATCATATAAATAGCTCCAGAAGGAATTCCTGGTTTTCCCCAGCGTTGAGTTTGCAAATAAAGGTGTCTGGAATGTGGTTCTCTGGACCGGACACCCCGGGGCTCTTTTGCTCATCCTGGCGTTAAAGGGGTGAATCAGGAGGAGCAATTCATGGTGGGGAGCCCAGAATGTGTTTCCTGGTGTGAAGTGGCCCTGACGTGGTGTGTCCCGAGGATTCGGCCAGCCCAAATGCCCCCGCAAAAGGATCCCAGAGAGCTCCAGGGTGGGAGCTCGGTCCTTCAGGCTCCCCCAGGAGGGGAACGTGGGCAGAGGGGGGGATGTCTGCGTA